AATAAATTTCGATTTAACTGCCGTGAATTCTCGTATTTAGTTGAATTCAAGTTTCAATCCAAATAAATTGAATTATTCCAGATAAAGTTGAAAATTCTATTTGAATGAGATGAACATTTATTTCCGTCCGTGGAGGATGAAAGAAAAATAATGACGAGATTATTTTATTCAATGACGTTTGACATTGCAACGTTAAGCACCTAATTCCGCCTGTTTTTTTCTTCAAATAAAAGCTTTAGAAATTCATGCAACGCTCCCTTGTATCCATTTTATGTGTCTCTCAAAGAAAAACTGAAAAAAATAGTTCTCCAATTGAAATTCATCCGAATTTAATAACATCCGTTTGATTCTCGTCCGCCCAACTAAAATTCTAATCCAATTCCCGTGCATATTTACTTGAATTCAATTACCAATCCAGATAAATTGAATTATTTCGGAAAAACTTGAAAAATTCTAGCTGAATGAATTGAATATTTATTTCCACCAGGAGATAAATAAAAATAATTACCGAGATTAGTTTATTCTATTGAAAATTATAGATAGATTTGGGATAAAAACTCTGTGCATTGGTATTCTGTCACTGACTTCAGCAAAATGAGGGCTACTACATCGGGCCACATGGAACGTGTTTTCCCTTTGTTCTTTATTCTATGTTTTGTTCTGAAGATTCGTAGTCACCTGCCATGCGCTCGCCCCGTAATATAAACACAGTTTACAGGGTGACACTGAGATGTGTCGAGTTGCGTAGAGATTGATTTTTGAATACTATTTCGTTCCATGAAATCCAATATATTCAAACAACATTTGACATTGTAACATGAAAACAAATTAACTCCCCCCGGCTTCCCCCAGCAAATCCAAACTTCTGAGCGAATGATACACAACGATAATACGTCGCGTGCCATGATGCTCGCTCTGGTCAACTGGGTACTGACCTCGGACATCCCTGATTCTTTGCGTGAGCGCGTTATGGTTTTTGGAATTACACCGCACACACAGCCAGGGATTCCCTCTTCGAATCTGCCCCCCACCCCTGCGCCCCTCCCCACACGTACCACGCAGGCCGATCAAAAGTCCTTTTGACTGTCGTTTACTGAATTTTTTACCGATTCTCCTTGCGAAACGAATGCCCTCCCCCCATGTTCCCAGTTGCTTCCGACGGGTTTGCATCTTTTATCGTGCGCGGCCGCTCCCCCTCCTGCCCCTGGCCGTTGGTAAAAGGGTCGGACACAGTCAGGGACCGAAGACTCGCTAAGTGACCTCGGCCAATTCCCTTCGGGTATCGAGTTTCCGCTCGCGGAAGCATTACATCGATCGATTTCAATGTTGGAAGGATAAATTTTGAACAATTTGTATTGATGTGCCATCTTTTATTGACGAGTCAACGTAACTAATGAATTCTCCAGACTATTTCCCATGCAAAAGAACGATTTTATCAGAGAGAGAGAGAGAAAAAAAAGATAATTCATTTGCAATGGCAATAAAATTTTTGACGTCCGAGTAATTTCAGTTGATTATAGAAATATCGCGAATGGCCATAAAAAATAGGGGGAAAAAATACACTGAAACTGTAATTTTTATGTCCATTCAGTATTCATTAAACTTAATGTCTCCTCCAGACACTCTTTATTCGTATTCCAAACGTAATTTGTCATATTTACCGATTTTAATGCAAATTTAAATTATATATATTTAACGGGCGCATCCCAGACAGTGTCACTACGTCGTACAAATGCAATTAAATACCCCTCCGACGAATTAGCACGTTTGGAGAGGTGTTGTGAGATAACGGGGAAATTTTCGTTTCAGTGTACACGGGTTTTCAATGTATACACACATACGTTTGTTCTAGCGAATAGTTGAAAATCTACGGAGCTAAAAGTGGGTCAAGATTCATTGTGTGAATGTGTGAGGTGGACTGAAGAATGAAATAATAATTTATTATGCCGTGTGTCCTTCGCGAATTCAACGAAAATAATTCATTGAAATTTCGATTGTTCTCAATTTTCAATTAATTGGAAATTCAAATTGTATTTGTGTTCAATAAAATTGAGTAATTTGTGAAATTTTATGTCTGTATCGCTTAAGGATATCCAAGTACTTTGACCATTTTTTCTCCAATGAAATGCTGCATCTAAAGAGGCGAAAATCGAAAAAAGCTATCATTTGAGCCCCATTTGACCCTCAATTTCCGGACATTTTACAATGGTTTTATTATTTAAACTTTGCGTATTGATATTGAACCATTAGAAACCATTTTAAAAATATGAAAACAAATTAGAAAGTTTACTTTTAAAAGAAGATTGATGAAATAATTAAAAAATTGCAATTATTAAAAATTACTACTAGATTATGGAAAAAAAAACACTTTGGAGTACTTTCAGCACTTTAAGAATTATTATTATTATTGAAATCTCAGTTTGACTCTACACAGTACGTTTCGCTCCGCGTCCGTGAATCTCTGCCTAGGGCCGGAATGACAAAAAAGATACTTGGAAAGCCTAACTCAAATTCAATGTACCCCAACGATTCAATCTTCATTCCGCCAACTAAATTTCAATCTTACGACTAATACTTCGCTAACAAGAATTGCTATTAAATTGTTAACCTCTTCCCGGTAAAGCCCATTACCGAAATATTTAAACAACATACTATTACACCCTCCAAAAGAAGCACAGGGACCTCAAAAATAGACCGGAGTACCTCCTAATACGAGGAAGAGAGAAAAGATTCGAGTGTTGAATGTGTAACCGATCATCACCATCAGAAAATAGGAGAAAAGGTGGATAATAAAAATGCTCGGCCTGTCGCAAGGGTACCAATTTCATCCTGACGTCCTTCCAGACATTGTCGTCCCCTCCCGAAGCCCGAACACTACACTCATTACTAAACCTCTACTGATCATTGAAAAAGAACGACTCAAATGACGTCACCTCTGAATCACCAATTTCTACAAACTCCCCCATTCAATAAAATTCCCCCAAAAATATAGGGATATGGATAGATCAAGTGCTTCAATCTGCCCGCATCCCGCACAGCTCTCGTATGTTTTTATTCTCCACGAGTTTTGACTCATTGCCTGCGAGATAAGACTTTTACTGCTGAATTTTCACTCGTATCCCCCCGAGCCATACGGTCCGGCATTTCATCCGCGATATGGACTCGAAAACACAATCAAGACTGCAGATTCAACGAAAAAAAAAAAAATGAAAAAGAAAGGAAGAGAAAGAAAGAACTAATTTAAACGGAACGAAGGAAATATGTAGTCACATCCGGTGTATCAGGATGGATGGCCTGTTCGGTTACAACGATTGAGGATTTACTGTTCTGCAACCCTTTCTTTCCACCCCTCGTACCCCAACATACACATTTAACCCTCCCCCTCCCTCCCTCTCGCCCCCAAATATATGGGTTTGTCTCTTGTTTCGCCCTTGTCCCATGCCACCTCCACAGTTACACGTCTCTGAATTCCCTGGGCATCGAGAAAGACAGACAGACGAACGAGATGCCACCCCCCCAGATACACTATGGCGTTATTGCCAAAAAGGATAATGCGAGGGAAGATTGAATTTTTCGCTCCCACCCCACCCTCAAACGCACATTCTTTCTGTTTCTCGTTCGTTCATTTCAGGGTATTGTGGATGCTGTGTAGATGCATTGTGTCCTCAACGCATGCAGATGAACCGTCAGTTTGTACACCTATCGTTTCATGCCTGTAGCATGGTGTTGCCCCTTTGATCGATAGCTTCAATTTATACTGAACCCAAGAGCAAGATTCACACCTTTACTTTTAACTTTGAAACATGAAGCTGAAACTAACAGAACATTCGTCAGTGGAAAATTCGATTTAGGGGATATTTAAGTGTAGGAGAGTCAAACAATCATATGTACAAATGTTTTTCAAGTACGAAAGAGTTTATACATTACATAAAAACATTTGTACACCCCTAGATTCGCCTAAAATAGATCTTCTGCTGTCGAATCTTTCGCTAGTTTCAGCGTCATCTTTGAAACCAACAAGTGAAAACAAAGAATCCATAGAAATTGATGGAGTTAGGCTTCGAATTGTTTGTTTTGGTCTTGAGGTTATGCAGAATGTTCAATATTTTTACTTCTAATGTTAAAATTGTTCATTCTGGATTCTGTAAGTGCCTGAACATCGATCGGCGCTAGGTAAAGCCTTGATTATGTTCTAAGTAATGAATTTTTCTTTTCCAATAATTTTTATTGATTATTATTAACATATTCCACAATTTGAGGAAAAGAGAGGACGAACGACTGCGGTGCACAGCCAAATTTAACCCCTCATCCTCGTGAAGAATGCTAATGATCAATGTTCTCTTCTGCAGAGTGTAATTCCGTTTTTTAAGATTGAAAAGAATAACTAATAGTGGAAGATATATTATTTTTATGTCCCGTTCGTCTTCACAACTTTTCATAAACGTCGCCCTAATGAGCAATGCCTTGAACATTCAAAATGTTCCATCCTGTGACCCCTAGAATTGATGTGATGACAGCAAAACGATTCGAAGGACTACTTTGTTAACATCTCATGTTAGAACATCCTTCGGTATTAGGTAAAGACTTGACTATGTTCTAAGTTTGATGCATTCTTCTTTTTCAATAACTAATACTGAAATTAGGTTTTATCAACCATTATTAACACATTCCTCAATTTGAGGAAACGCGGACGAACGACTGCAGTATGCAGCCAAATTTCACGAATGCTAACTAGTGTAATTCAATCCTTTTTAAAGATTGAAAAAAATAACTAACAGTTGACGATACATTATTTTTATGTTCCCTTCGTGTTCAGAACCTTCCATAATGGTCGCCCTAAAGGGAACGCCTCAAACATTCGAAATATCGAAATACTGGAGAATGCAATGCAATGGAGATTCTTCCCCCCATCCTGTGACCCCTAGAATTGCTGTGCCGACAGCAAAATCATCCGCAGAAGGACAAATTTGTAAACAATTGAAATTAGCAACAGTACTCACCCTTTCCTCCTCCCGAATCATCTCCGCAATTCCGGGTTTAATCTCCAAATCATCAACCGGCGTCGACTGATTACCAACCGCCTGTTGATGATGCTGTGCAGCAGCAGCCTGCTGCTGTGCCTGCTGTGCCTGATGCTGCGCCGCAGCAGCGGCCTGTTGTGCCTGTGCCTGATGCTGCTGCACCGTCAATCCCTGGACATGCTGTCCAAGATGATTGACACTGGGATGACCACCAGATGTCACGTGGCTAGTCACGTGGTGTCCAACAGAGTGAGCGCTTTGGCTTGATGTTGGTGGTGGTGGTAATGGCAACGAGACAGGAAGCTCCTGAAGATTAATTTGCGGTGTTACTGAGATACTTGGCGCTGATGATGGTGAACCAATGGATCTTGGTGTTGATGATGCAACGAGATTGTGAACATCGGGCAGTCCAATGACTTCCTGATCGTCAATTATGCAGGAGTTCTGATCAGGACTGTTGACACTTGGTGAACGATCGCCGGACACTCTGCGACGTTTCTTCCGATTCTGTGAACCACTTGCCAATGATGCTATATTGTCAAGCATACTTGGCCGGGAGACGAGCTCCTGCTCACTGTTGACATCCGCAAGACCTCGAATTTTCAGGCATTCAGCCACCTTCAGCAAAGGCCCAATCTGCTCCTGCGACACGTTAATCTCACCCTTGTACATGAATTCAACAGCTGCCTTCAATTCTGGCCACTTGATGTCCTTCATTATGACAATAGGGTGGGTGCACGGATTCTCAAAGAATAGGGCCTGAAAGTACGGCGAGCATGCTGACAGTACCATCTTGTGAGCTTTCACCGAGTGGCCGTCGCAAGCGAGGGTCACGTCGACGAATGACTCACTCTGGAGCAATTGATCAAAGACATTGGTTAAATTTGTCTGATAATTGTTCCACCGCAAACAGAACTGCTGGGGTGAACCGGCGCCGCTCTGCTGCGTCATCTTGAATTCCTCTGATTCCTCCGTTTTTGCGGCTTTTAGTAACACCTCTGTCGCAAAATTAATTTAGTCTTTTTATTGTTCTTTCACACAATATCCAAGCACTTGGGATTCACCACCTTGACTCGCTCATCTGTAAACACAAATTCACAGTAATCTCGATGTAGTTTGCGCCTCCGTAATTGTCCATAATTGACGATGATTATTTATCAATAGTTTTTAGAATTGTTATTTATCTCGTTGGAATTAAATATTCAATGGTCGATGGGTCGAGAATGAGAATAGCACGTGACATTGTCATCCCACAGCACCAATCCAGCACATCACACGAATGAATAATGTTATTTGAAAACAGTCGCACTTGTCTCTGATACGCAATGAGAAATAATAAATAACACCTAAGTCACCTTGGAGTTTATTTAACACCGATTAATACCGTTTATTTTATCGTTTTGTTTTGTTGATTATTTCTTTTCAATCGAAGTTGATTGTTGGAATTATCATCGCGATTTTTATCGACTCGCTATCACCCTCGTGCGATTGAATTCGATTATTACGTTGTTGAGGGATTATCCTTGGTGAATTAATAAAAATTACGACTGGCCAATGGAAATAAATGGAATGGAAAAAAGTTTAGTAAACCGAACACGAGGGCGACGTGGACAGCACCGATGTGCAGCGCGTGACGAGCGCGTCGCGACTGAGAGGGTACCGCGCGCGTGGTTACCCGAGATATCGTCGCTGGAAGGCGATCATAATGTTCCGGGGAAGGGGGGAGGGTGGAGGGGGTGAGGGGGAGCGAGAGTGGGGGAGATAGCGCGAAAGAAGCCGCGCGCGCGCCTCGTAAACAGAGCTGTGTGAGAGAGACGAGGACGGAGAAGTGACTGGACGTGAGCGGCCGGTTTCCCCACTTCTACGTGTAAAGCATCGTCGTACAAAACCCGATGAGGGGAAGCTCCGCCTTCCAAAGACACCGCCCCCAGACGCCTATTGCGAACGGCAAGAAATGAATATGTTATTGGGAAAATTACTGAATTTTTTTGCGATTCTATTTATGGCGCGGAAAAAAATTGAAGGGTGACGAAAATTTTGGGGGAATGTTGAAAATTTTTGGCTGAATTTTCCGTGCCAAATCCACGGAAATTTTTATCGTGTGAGAGGTCCACTGAAATTTTAGGACATCTTGTCTTTGAAAAATGACATATTCCGTTGATTTTCGGTTCGAATGATCTGAAAATCAATAAAATATTTTATTTTTCAGGTCAATTACTGTAAAAGTTCAGAAAAATCAGGAAAATTCAGGGAAAAATGGAAATTTCAGGTCATTTTGTTCATGGTCCACTGAAAATTCAATCAAGTTTTGAAATTTCCATCTCACTCCCACTGAAAACTCATGAGTTCCCTTGAATTCTACGTAAAACTTGAAATTTCATAACCATTTGTCACTCTCATGAGAATTACTATCATATCTTCCATGAAATTTCAAAAAATTTCTATCGAAGAGGGTATTTTTTATGCTTTTTTTTAATGAGCACGTGATGAACATTTCAAGTGATGCAAAAACACTAGTATTGGGTTATGCAATTGTTTGCGAAATTTAGTCGTGTCATTTATTGTCTTCAAATGGAATGTTGCTAATGCATCTGCAGTGTTATTAAGTTACTTATGAAATTTCAAGCAAAAAACCTTGAAATTGTTAAGAACGATTAGGAAAGGGGACATGATTGGCAAACGATTTTTATTGGAATGAAAATAAATGGATTTATTTTCATTTGAATAAATAAATTTTATTCGAATGAAATGAATGGATTTGTTCCAATAGCTCATAATAAAACGTTTATTCAAATTCACTTGTTTTTATATGCATTTCCATTGACATCAAATAAATTATTTTTTAAATACAAACGAATGTTTCCCTGACCCAAATGAAGACTTATCGATTAGACGTGAAATCATCGCGTGGATGTCGATGAGAACGAATTTATCAACGTGTGAGCGTTTATTTGATTCTAATAGAAAGTTTGATTTGATTCAAATGATGAATTCAAATCAAATCAAACTTTCTATTTGAAATTACTAATTCGTTGATTCTTCCGGGTGTGCAATGTTGAAAAAATTTGGCTGAATTTTCCGGAAAAAGACCTTGAACTCGATGTAAGCGGAAAAAATCAATGAAATTTCAAATTTCGCTAAAAACTCAAGTAAAGTTGCCATTTTTTAGAGGCAGGAAGACGGAAATTCTACGATTTACCTGAATTTTCCTAATTTTCCCGGGATAATTCAACCGAAATTTACAGTTCGCCCAAATTTTTCCATAAAATTATGAATTTTCAATGAAAAATCCCGTGAAATTTCAGTGGAAACGTTACATGTTAAAAATTTCCAAGACTCTTACCGGAAATTTCAATAAATTTTTTTAAAAAGACCGTGAATTCGATTTAAGCCAAAAAAGTCAATGGAATTTTGAGTTTCTCCGAAAATTTCAATCAAGTCCCAATTTTTTTGCGGTAGGAAGACGAAAATTCCCCGATTTATCTGGATTTTCAAGTGAAAATGAGTATTCATTGCCAAATTCCCTGGAACTTTCAACGGATTCCTTTCAAATTCTTTTAACAGTATGGGTTGAACTTGATTGAAATTGCACTATTGCCTACTTCTTGCATTTCGTTATCCCCTCACTTCAAATTGAAAAAATGATGGGCATTTTGAGTTATTGCACTTATGACAATATAATGCGACGCCCCATACCCGCCGTATGCAGAAACTCAAATGTTAGTGACGTTATTCAGTCGGGCATGCCTCAACGATAACAGCATTATGTTACGGTCCTGGAGTACAAAGATAGCAACGATAATGAAATTTAAGGTACAAAGAGGCGATCGTAGAGTTTCCCCTCCCTGACTGTTCGGGAGGTCGGGTCCAACGACTGGGCGAGGACTCAAAACCATTTTCAACGGACCCAGTGCCCCCCCATTCTTCCCTATCTTGTGTCCTCATACCCTCCTTCCTCCAGAACTGGCTATTAGACGAAGACTCTGGGTAATAGAGAATTTCTACATGGTGATTCGATATACGGGGAAAATTTCAAACGCTGGGGGATCAAACGAAGGTTAATACAGAACGAAGAATTAGATTTGGAAATATATTAGTAGGATTCTGAGTTGGAAATGATTTTTAAATTACACACAGAAAAAAAGGGTCTGAATTCTAGTGAAATATCGCTGAGAATTTTTTCCATCCGAATTTCAGCCAATAGAATTGCACTATTCGACTGTTATTTTATATAGTCAACACGCTAACGTCACTGGTAATTTTTTATGTTGATATATATATAAAAAACAAAAGATTTACAGGTCTAGTGAGCCCCATGTCGGAATTGGCAGATGAAAACAGTTGAAAATTGATAACGTCATATAATTATTTCAATGGGAATCGTTACAATTATTTGAGATAAATAATTTATTCATTCTAAATGAGGCCGTTATTGAAATGAAATCAACGATTCATTCCCTACAAATGAGGAATTACTGACTAAATTATCTTGGTTCTAACTTCGTTGGAATCAAAAAACATTTTATTGTATTTATAAAGTATTCACTTGGTCTGAATAAAAACGCGAATTAAGGAATTTCTTCTTGAATTATAAAATTTCTTACTGAATTATTGATTATAAAATACGAAAATCGAAGGAAATATTGGGAATTTCCAAATGCTTAAACGTCCATTTGCAATATTCATCATTCAATTTTCCTATCCAACGACGAAAAAACTTCATGTAAAACCCAAACCCCTGAAAAACGTGATTTCCTCCAGAATGGATCAAATATGCGAATCGTCATAAAAAATCCAACACATGCAAATCGTTCGAATCGACCCAATAGTTTTTGAGTTTTTTTTCAAAAACTGTCTCCCTCTAGACTCCCGTACGTCAATAAATTTTCATTGGTTTTTGCATTTCATACGAAAATTGCAGTGTGCTGAAAATGGTAGGTAACACTGCAACTCAATTGGGGGGATTTCACGGAGGAACTGCGAGCTGAAATAGGACCAGCACTTTTTCTGGATTTTCGCACTGTTAGGATGAAAAAATACGAGTGGAAAAGAGGAGAATATAGTCAGGCCAGTTGGAAAACTAAACTCGTGATTTTTTTTTTTATCCGAGATTTTGGTGTGGATCTAGTGTTGTTATACGCCGTTGGAAAACTACTGTTGACATTTCTAGTGAACAATCTTCACATATTTAAGCGACTAATTTCCATATTTCATTATATATTATTATTGACAAGACGGTTAATTGTTGCAATATCATTGAAATTATAGTTTTCGTGTCTTTAACACAATTAAAATGATTGAATACTGTGAGAATTTAAGATGCAATTGAAATATTCATGACTGGTCAACGCAGAAAAGTTCAATTTTTTATTTTTCAAGATCATCTTATATTAAATTCCTATTCATAATTTTGGTGTGGATCTAATGTTGTTATACACTGTTGAAATATAACTCTTGACCTTTCCAATGAAAAATCTGGACAAATTTGAGCGACCAATTTAAATTATATTTTAATGATATTTCAGTTTTGTTATTGACAAAACAGTGAATCCTTAGAATATCAGTGAGATTTTTTATATTGTGAACACTCAAAATTGAAATATTCATCATCGTTCAACAAATTCAATTTTGTTGAATTTTCAAAATAAAGCAGAAATTCAATCTAGAATTGAATTCATATTCATCATTTTGATTCAGATCTAATGTTATTATACACTGTTTAAAAATTATTCTTGACATTTCCTCTGAACAATGGTATTCCATTATATATATTGTTATTTACAAAACGATTAATTTCTGGAACATCAATGCAATTGTAATTTTCAGGTGCTCACGACAATTTTAATTGAAATTTTCTCAATTTTTCAATATAAGTAAGAAATTTGATCAACAATTCACATTCATAGCATTGAAAATTAATCTACAACTATTGATTAATTTCCAAATTGAACCTCTCAAATTATTGCGTTCGATTTGAATAGATCGCCCAGTCGAGCAATAAACATTTCTATTATGACTGTCATTTGAATAATACCAAGTCATATTACCCCCCTTTGGTATGCACATGCGGTGAGTACCAAATTTTCGCCGTCAGACGAAGCAACGTAAATGATTCCGCTGTTAATTAGTTTAAGCCGTTATAATTGTCGGGACTTGATTCATTAAATCGTGAATTGGGGGTGAAAGATTTCTATTCTCGTGTGAAGAGTTGACGTTTAAGAAATATGCAAGTGTCTTCTCACCTCACGATAGTCGTTTACTTCACTCATATCTCCTTTTTCCCCTATTTCATTACACAACCTCAGGGGTATTTCGGTGCTAAATCAAAAGTAGTAGACGAATTCCAAAATAATCGCGAAATAATTCTTGATGCGCCATTCTAATGCATCAATCTTCCATCGCGATAACTAGGATCAAATTTCCGTGAAATTTCAACCGAATTTCCAATCCGTAATGAATAACGGAGAATAGAAGGGATGAACTTCTATAAAAAATTCCCCCCCTCCCACAAATTCCAAGACTCGAATCTATTTCTGCCTAAAAACAATGAAAATAATATTTGAAAATGTATATCGAGTCTAGACATCCATCACAAAAGGAGGTAAGCCAGGGGAGTAAGGAGACTGGAAAACGAG